TATTATCCCAATGATTACATTTTTATTGCTTGTGTTTCGACACAAATGAACCAACAATATACATGAATATTAAACATGAAAAACACCCAATACATTTTTTTTTACTAGTTTCTAATTTACTAGAAGTTTCTACACCATCAAATTGTAAATCCTACACCAAATACAGTATGTTTTCAGGAGATTATATGTGATTCTGTCTAGAGTTTGATCATAAAGATGATCCCAGAAGGCAAGAGTATTCATGCTGGCCTTTCAGCAGAGCGTCTAAAGAGAAGGAAGTGAGAAAACAAAGGAGAGAACAATAATACTGTTCAGCGTCCCACACAAAAACATGTTCTCAAGTTCAAGCATTAGCAGTTCTACAGGTCGGTGTTTCGGCAGGAGACCGGATTCTTGGAATGAGAGCCAAAACGTCCAAAGCTGTTCTACGGAAATGCGTGCGAGTGTAAAGTTGCTCTTTTAAAGAGGACCTATTATGCGTTTTCACATGTTCATCTGTCTTTAGTGTGTAATGTTGCTGTTTGAGCATGAAAAAGCTTTGCAAAGTTCATTATATGAATAATTATCATATAATTATTGTCACTCTTTTCATCCAGGAACGAACATGCCACAATATTCCTCATCATAATAATTAATACGCAGAATAAAGGGGTGGGGCCTGGTTGAGTTGGTTAGTAGTGTGTTAAACTGGCGGTTATGGAAAGGGGCGGGACATTTCCCAAACACACTCGAAGCGCTCGACCAATCACAACACACTGCTCCAGCCGACCAATCAGAGCACAGTGTGCTTTTCAGAAGGAGGGGCTTCATGGAGACAGGAAGTAAACAGAGCGTTACTGACAGACTGGGAAGAGAGGAGCCGCAACAATGAGGAAAATAATCAACATTCAAGCAGGAAAACCTGTTCTAGTAGAGCCTGAAACATCATCAAGACTTTGTAAAAGGGCAGAACAGGTCGTATTTAAAGCCAATGAGATTCTCTTTAACTTTTTTACAGGAGTGGTAGGCCTACACACATACTGGAAAACTAATAATAGCATTTAATTCTCCGAGATTAAAGAGCTTGTGTAAGTAAGCGGGTGTGGATTTAACACAGATTTGACCATCTAACCAGCAAAAACTAATGCCCTTCAAATTATTATTTTTAATGCAGTCAGGCAAAGTCAAGAGTCCTGCGATCTGGAGGCAATTTCTGTATAGATCAAACTGCTGTTGTGCTCTCTAGTGTTCCAGATGTGTACCAACAAAGATGTTTATGGTCACATCTGGCCCTGAAAACACCGACCAACGCCACTTCAGGAAGCCACCGACAACACCTGATGTCTTTTATGGCTCAGAAGGCTGTTTGTGTGCAATGCTGGTGGGGATTTCCTACATTAAAACCCATTGAAACCCACTAAGCCGTACCTAAATCTAGCTTTTGTTCTCTAGGAAATCTAAAAAAAAAAAAAAAAAAAAAAAAAAAAAACTTGGCCAAAACTAAAGGAAAACACTTAGACCGTAAGAAAATAAACAGCAGTTTGAGATCAGTAAGACTTTTTAAAATGTTTTTGAAAGAAGTCTCTTCTGCTCACCAAGGCTGCATTTATTTAATCAGAAATACAGTAAAAACTGAAATATTGTGAAATATTATTAGTATTTGAAATAATTGATTTCTGTTTAAATATAAAGTAAATTATAATTTATTCCTGTGATCAAAGCTGAATTTTTAGCATCATTACTACAGATAGAATATTTTGTAACATTATTAAATGTCTTTACTCTCGAGGCCTTACTCAAAAGTATTGTTATTAGTATATACTGTATATGTATTCATATTTTTCAATTTTCATTTTAATTTTAATTGTAGTTTATGTTCAAGTCATTTTAAGTGCTTTTGTCATTTTTGCTAGTTCATTTATATTTAGGCTTTATTATTCTTTTTTTTTTTTATTCTTTTTATGTTTTTGTTTTGGTAATTAGTCTATTTCTGTTAGTGCCAAGGCAACATTTCTATTTGTTTTACCCTAATATTATTATTTAATTTCAAATGTATTATTTTTTATGTATAATGTTTTATTTACCAATAACAACACTGGCGTCAAGAACCTTTGACTTTACTCATACTAAAGAATATTGATATATATATATATATATATATATATATATATATATATATATTTTTTTTTTTCTTTTTTTTCTTTTTCTTGTAAATCTTATGAAGGAAACGTGCCTCTTTGGCCTGAAAACGCTTGGATAGAAAGAAATAAAGAAAATAAACAGCATTTTATGCATTCCAACATAAATGTGTGTGATCACCAGTTTTATATTATTATTTATATACTATTATAGATTTCAGTTATATTTTGATGTAGATTTTATTTATTTTCAGTTTCACTTTAATTTTAGTTGAACTTTTAGTCATTTTGTTTGGTGCTTTTGTCAGTCGTTATTATTACTATTTATATTCCTTTTTTTTTCAGCTTTGGCTCAATTTTAGCTATTTATTTATTCCCAATTAGTAATTTTGATGCTTCAACTTAAACATATTTCAGTTAGTTTTCAAAGCAACATATCTAATTTTATATAGGTTTTTCATATAATATTTTATTTCAGGCTTCTTTCAATAACACACATGCTTTTAATAGTTTTAGTAGCACAACACTATCGAACACATCAGATATTAGAGTCGTGACTGCCTGTTTTACACATAAGAATATGAATCTGAAATATATATCTATAGAAACCTATTAATCTCAGACCTGCATCTCCTGCTTTTAGCGTGAATAATAACTTAAATGTGTGTATTTTCCACACACAATGTACAAGTCAAACACGGCTCATGAAGACGCATCACACCAAGTTTGCACGACTGATGATATTTTCTGTCAATTTTGGATCTTGACAATCTACTGTAACAAAATTCAGCTTTTTTCCAAATCAACGAGACGCGTAAACAACTCCAGAGCTTCCCTTTTACGGTGAACTACTACTCCTCTTTCTCTGTAACTTCGAACAGAATAAACAGGTTGAAGCTCTTCCCTGTTAATCACGCTGACAACGAGATCCCAAGCAATTAACTGGGACTTCTCCATGAGCAACTGGCTTTTAGCCTGTAGATCTAGACAGCGGTTCTCCATCAGAACGACCACCCACAGGCCTGAGGCATTAGTCCGAGACAACGCAAATCTGCAACAAGACACGAACACACACACATCTCATGACTGAAGCTTACTTATTAACACAACAGCACTAAACTACCACTAACACACTGCCACACACGTTTCTGCTTTCACTTAGAGCTGCAGGTTAAGAACTGACCAGTCGAGTGGTCTAGCTGAGATTTTATACTTATATACGGTTACATTTGGCAACATACATTTTTATATGTTTATATGTATTTTTGTATGTTTATTATTATTTCACTTGGTCTAAATATTTCATAATGTCTTCTCAGATACATAAACTTCAAAAATGGCAATTCATTTCCATTACAGAAAACTGTTTACCATTTAAGAAACTGAATTTTTTTTCATAGAAGTCACTTTTCACATATTAAAATATTTTGTCAAATATATATAGGCAAGTATGTCTGTTTATTGTTTTCATATATACTACCGTTCACATGTTTGGGGTTGATACGATTTTTTAAATTCTCACCAAGTCTGCATTTATTTGATTAATATGCAGGAAAAAATTTGAAATATTATTCTTTTTTAAAATAGCTGTTTTCTACGTGAATATATAATAAAGTGTAATTTATATCCTGTGATCAAAGCTGAATTTTCTTCATCATTACTCCAGTCTTCAGTGTCACATGATCCTTCAGAAATCACTCTAATGTGATGATTTGCTGCTCAAGAAACATTTATGAATATTATCAGTGTTGAAAACAGTCGTGTTGTGGAAACTGTGATACATTTAATTTTTCAGGATTCTTTCAGTAAAAAGTGCTTTCAAAAGAACAGCATTTATTTGAAATTAAATCTTTTGTAACATTATAAATGTCTATCCTGTCACTTTCCAACCTGTTGAACACTAGAGTAAATGAAGGTGTTTAAATACAATTATTCTCAGTGGAAAAAGTGTGGAAAATATGTTTTCATATTGTATTTTGAAATACATTTACTGTGTGTTAGTTAAATATCTTGCCAACAATTACTGAATGATTCATCAAACTTATTTACACAAAAAATCATTTAAAGCCGTTTCAGAGAGAATAAATAAATAATGAGATATATGCATATCATCAAAAAGCTGAAAATTATATTTTAGCTATATCATCCAGCCCTAATTGATGATTCTGCGAATCATCTTTTAATAGACAACCCGAGGCCGTCGACTGAAACACTGAGCTAACATATGGAAAGATATTTTCAAAAGTGTGCCAATATAAACGACATATGCTTTTAATGTCATTTAAATACCAAATAATCAACATCAAATTAATATTTTATGGATGAGTGTATCAGCTGGTGAAGCAGAACGCATTCATACGCACTGGTTAAGAGCCTCAGATGGCATTTTATTAAAATGTCCCCCACAAAATGTGAGATGCAACGGCGTGTTTATGATTGTTAAGGCGAGACACGGCAGGCAAAAACATAGTTTTTTTTTTTCACCGGTCAAATTTGAGATTTCGGGATATTTGTCTTCAAAAACATGTCTTCTTTCAGACTTTACCCAAAATTACCCTATTCACCTGTAGTGTCTCGCCTTAATGGTGTGTTCACACCGAACGCGAATTTAATTATTTCCGCGAGTAGATTACATACAAAGTCAATGCAAAGACGCGAATAGACGCATCATTCGCGCCAGGCGTTGCGAATGACGCGAATTGGGCGACGCGTTTGCCGCGAATGTCTTCCGCGCAAGTTGAAATATTTGAACTCGAGCGAATGTTCAAGCGTCTAACTAGACGCGATAGACGCGTATTTGACGCTCTATTCGCGTTCGGTGTGAACACACCATAAGAGTCGTGAATGATGCAGTGTCAGTGAAACGGGGATGATTTCTCTTACTCTGCTTGATAACGTGAACTCGTACGGGGTCAGAAATCTTCTCGGCGGCCTTGTACCATCGCCCACTCGTTTGCTGAACCCACACGCTCACTTTACAGGAGTAGAGTCCTGCGTCCGACATCTCCACGCCGTGAACCTTCATCTGGAAGTGCCGCTTCCCCAAGCGCCTCACGTCCACGAGCTCAGACGAGACGTTCCTCAGGCCGTCCCGGCTCAGGTGTGCCAGCGTGCGACTGGCGTTCAGCATCCACGTCACCTCCAGCTCCACGGAGAGCTCGCGGTCCACAGACACCGCACAGGTGAGCAGCAGCGGCTCTCCGCTGGACAGTGTGCTGTCGTCCTGAACCGACACCGTCAGGGAGTTCGCTGAGGGTTTCAAGAGAAAGAGATGGGACAAAAATAACTCAGAGGTACTTACCTAGAAAGTACTGCTAATATAAGGTAAGTACAAGGGTTAGGGGTAGGTTCAGGGTTAGTACCTAGTTATTACCCAGTAATTGTAATTACTATAATAAGTACATAGTATGGGTACTGTAAAAGAAAGCGTTACCCACTTTATTTTAGTGTCATTGTTACATATGTTACATGTACTTACCGTAGTAATAACAGTAAATTATGCATAATTACATGCAATTAACCCTCAACCAAACCCTAATCATACCCTAACCCTATAGTAAGTACATGTAGTTACTCAGTACTTAAATATATAATTACACTGTAACAATGACACCTTAAAATAAAGTGTAACCAACTTGGATCGTAATGATACAAAATCAGGACCCTTTTTTGGGTTACAAGGTGACGTAGTTACATTGTACTTACTCAAATAAGTATTAATTAAATACATATACTTGCTATAGCAATAACAGTAAATACCAGTCATAAACCTCATGTTGTTTTTTGGGTTATACTTTATTTGGTAACACTTTATTTTACAGTGTCCTTGTTACATATGTTACATGCACTGCATAATTACATGCAATTAACCCTTAACCTAATCCTACCCTAACCCTATAGTAAGTACGTAGTTGCTTAATATTACCGGTACTCAGTGCTAAAATATATAATTACACTGTAACAATGACACCTTAAAATAAAGTGTAACCAACTCGGATCGTAATGATACAAAATCATTAAAATCATAAATTCATATACTTACTATAGCAATAACAGTAAATACCAACCATAAACCTCATGTTGTTTTTTGGGTTATACTTTATTTGGTAACACTTTATTTTACAGTGTCCTTGTTACATATGTTACATGTACTTACCGTAGAAATACCAGTAAATTATGCATAATTACATGCAATTAAATTTAACACTCAACCAAACCCTACCCTAACCCTACAGTAAGTACATGTAGTTCATTAATATTACTCAGTACTAAAATATATAATTACATTGTAACAATGACACCTTAAAATAAAGTGTAACCCCTTTACTTGAAGGTGATATAGCTGAGGATTTCAAAAGACTAGAGAAATAAATACATGACCTTTTCAGATATAAACCTCATGTTGTTTTTTAAGTTACACTTTATTTGAAGGTGACGTAGTTACATTGTACTTACTCAAATAAGTAATAATTAACTACAATTCACTTACTATAGAGTTACGGTTAGGGTTTGGTTTAGGGTTAGTTACTTGTAATTATGCATAATTTACTGTTATTATACACGTACATGTAGTAATGTGTAACTACGTCACCTTAAAATAAAGTGTTACCGTTTATTATTACCTAAAGCTATTAAAAATTGTTTCCTTAATTAAAATAAAGCTGAAATAAAAAACTTAAACTTACAAAAAAAATAAAAATTGCCTTGGGAACTAATTGAAATAAAATGAAAAAATAACTCAGATCGTAATGATACAAACCAGCCATAAACCTCATGTTGTTTTTTGGGTTATACTTTATTTGAAGGTGACGTAGTTACATTGTACTTACTCAAATAAGTATTAATTAACTACATGTAGGGTTAGGGAATGATTAGGATTTGGTTTAGGGTTAGTTACTTGTAATTATGCATAATGTTAAGTATGTAACAAGGACACTGAAAAATAAAGTGTTACCGTATTAATTAACTCCATGTACTTTACGGTTAGGGTTTGGTTTAGGGTTTTAGTTACTTGTAAATATGCATAATTCACTGTTATTATATAGTACGTACATGTAGTAACGTGTAACTACGACACGTTCAAATGAAGTGTTAACTAAAGCTATTAAAAATGTTTTTTAACGATGTTGCCTTGGGAACTAATTGAAATAAAATGACGTTGAAATCAAATTAACAAAAATAATTTAAGCTAAATAAATATGAGAAAAGCGCATAAACATACTAAAACTTAAACCCATAAAAAACTATTTTATATGTATACATATATCAAAATTCTATAATAGTATAAAAATAACACACATTTAACTTTTTCTTCAATACAAAGAAAACAGTTTAAAAAAAAAACATAACACTAATAGTCATTATGATTTATTTCAAGTTTTCAGAAGACCTGATGTGAGGAACAGACCCAAACTTTATAGTCATTTTTCATGTTAGTTTTGATGTTAAAGGCCCTGATATACTTCAAGTGTGACGTCATATCAAACAAAATCAACCAAAACCAGTTTGTTCTGGAGTTTGAAACAGCTTGCAAATGCAAACTTTCCGGAAATGTAAGTTCTGGCTGGTCCACCTTCGTTTTATGGCACTTTTAAGGCCTACGTTTATGGCACTTTTTGCTGTTTCTACTATATACTTTTGTTATATGAAAAAGAGCAGCAGGAAGAATCTGCAAAACATCTACTTTTGAGTTTTGACAAAAAAGAAAGAAAGTAATTGGGGTTTGCAATAACATGAGTGAGGAAACGGGGGAACTATTCCTTTAATTTCTCCCAGCAAACTCTCAATCATTTCTCTGGGGAACGATGTGATATTCAGTACATCTCGCTTAGATTGCACAGGCTGTGTTCGCTAACATCTTTCGGTTACAATCTCAAACAGCACAGAGTCTGTGTAACGTCTGCTGGATGGGTCTCTGGAGCTCGTCCTGATTTTAATTAAAAACTCTGCAGTAACATTGACAGTATATATGGTTACCAGACAGGAATTTCACCGGCAATGAGGATTCAGACAGCCTGGTTTGTGAGAAAGGTCTGACGACATTAAACAAGATAAAACTGGACAGAAGAGCACATTATTCTTCTCAAGGGAAGCGTTGGGAGAATTCAATAACCATAATCGAAACTCTTTCGTTTCTCTTTTTCCTCCAAATGCAACTTATTTATTAGTTTTACCACATTTACATAACAGCGATTCATCATCATAAGTACTTTTATCATATCAAATCAGATTATTTCATGGCATAAGCTTTGATCATGAATCTATAACAGTTTCCCAGGAGGGCACAACAACACAACTAAACTGATAATGCAAAAACAGAACAAAATAAAGCAATAATGCAACAGAATTAAAAGAATAGTTCACTCACAAATGTTCATGTCAGAATTTTCACGAGACAATTTAATATTAATAGACATTTGTTTTTTCAAGATTTGACAATGCATCATTTTTAAATGTAATTAAAATTGTTATTTCATACATAATTTAATTTAATGCATAATTAAAAAAACATAAAAATGTGTAGTTTAATTTGATTTAGTGCATAAATTAAAACAATATATAATTGAATTTAATTTAATGCATAATTTAACTGATATAATTTTAGCAAACAAAAAATAATATAATGTATAATTTAATGTAATGCATAATTTAATATATACAATTTAAAAACAAACTATTATAATTTATACTTCAATGTAATGCATATTTTAATAAACATAATTAAGAAACTCATATTTTATTTATAATTTAATTTCATTGAATGCACAATTTAATTTACACAATTAAAAAAAACTAATATAATTTATAGTTTAAAAAATGTAATAATTTATAATTTCATTGAATACATAATTTAATTTACATAATTAAAAAAATTAAATTAGCAAAAGCACAAAAATATTTGTTTGAAAATCTAAAAATTAAGCTAATTAGAAATATTAATAAATACAATAATAGTATATAAATAAAAGTAAAGTATGAAAATCTAAAAATATAGATTGATAAGAAATGTAACATAATTATGTGTTGCATCATTTTTTTTTAGAAATATTTCAACTGAATTGATTCCATTGCGTTGTGGCTTCCTTCTGTTGTGCTCCAGTCTATTTTTATCATGTTGCACCTCCTCTGTTGCAGAAATGAACTCACCTGTGGGGGTGACCGTCACTCCGCCCATCTCCATCGCCTTCTCCTGAATCCGGTTCCAGACTCCCTGCTCTCTCGTCCACAGTCTGGCTGTGCACACGTACATCCCTCCGTCTTCCGGCATCGCTCCGGAGAGCACGAGACTGTGTGAGACTCCGTTTCCCATCTCTAGACGCATCCCGCCATCTGTGTAGCGTCCCATGAACCCGTCGCCAACCGTCACACCCAAATCTGGACCAAAGGTCAGCATGTCCTCTAGTAGAGACGAGCCCTTCTGGACCGACCAGGTTAAGGACAGGTGAATTCCTTCGATGAAGCTGCGGGAGACGTTGCACAGGAGCCTGAGGGATCCGCCCTCGGGAACCACAGCGTTTGGGGTGTCGGGAGCCACAATAAGACTGTTAGGAACAACTGAAATAGAAAGATAAAGGGTGCATCAGTGTGTCTTTCCTCTGTCTAATTTGACATGAACATTATAAGCTAGTTTTAAAGTTTTACATAAAAAAAAAAAAAAAAAAATGCAGGTAAATTCTAAGGCAAATGCAACCAGTAATTATGACTAGTTTGAACGACACTTTGTTTGTTTTAACACTCCTTACGATCAATGATTTACTGTAATCTTACAGCAGGAAATGCCCATTGCACACCGTCATTAAACCATTGGACTAAGCTTATATACAGACACACATTTGAATTAAATAAAACACAAAACATGTCTGGAAAGATGCAATGCTAGTCAGACAATAAAAGCCGACTTTGTGTCTGCCAGGTCTAACCACACGAACGTCATTCGTCACCAGTGACAGAACCAGATCGACAAGTTTAACCAATCGTGTGGAAACAGATGTGATAAAGGTTCTGCAGTAAACAAGTTAACTTTCTCCACACAACGCTTAACGGGCTAGATCACAATTAAATATGAATAACTCTCTCCACACAACGCTTTACGGGCTAGATCACAATTAAATATGAATTGCTGGCCAAAAACCACCCAATTAGAAAGGAAGAGACGAGCATGCAACATTATAAAAAATGAGTGGAATCTATAATTATGACTGTAGGCTATTATGTGGTTTACTTGTTTAGTAAGTGGACTAAACTCACTAGTCTCATATTACAGTCTCATGTTTCAAAACTATGTATTTTCTTCCATTGTAAGTGTGTAAATAGACGGACAGGGAAGGACGAGCATATGGATGGATAGAAAGATGGATGGATGGATGGATGGATGGATGGATGGATGGATGGATGGATGGATGGATGGATGGATGGATGGATGGATGGATGGATGGATGGATGGATGGATGGATGGATGGATGGATGGATGGATGGATGGATGGATGGATGGATGGATGGATGGATGGATGGATGGATGGATAAATAGACGGATGAATGATGGATGGATGGATGGATGGATGGATGGATGAATGATGGATGGATGAATGATGGATGGATGGATGGATACCCGGATGAATGAGGGACGGATGGATGATGGACGGATGAATGATGGATGGATGGATACCCGGTTGGATGAGGGACGGATGGATGATGGACGGATGGATGGATGGATGGATAGATAGATGGATGAATGATGGATGGATGGATAGACGGATGGATGGAAAGTTGGACAGATGTAAAGATATATGGAGGGATGAATGATGGATAGATGGATGGATGGAGGGATGGATGGATAGAAAGTTGGACAGATGGCTAGATAAATGGATATATAGACACTGAATGATGGATGGATGGATGGATGGATGGATGGATGATGGATAGATAGACGGATGACGGGTGGATAGATAGATGGATAGATAGATAGATGGATAGATGGATAGATAGACGGATGAATAATGGACAGATGGATAGACAGATGGATGGATGGACCGATGGATGGATGGATAGATAGACGGATGAATGATGGATGGATGGCTGGATGGATAGAAAGTTGGACAGATGGAAAGATAGATGGAGGGATGAATGATGGATAGATGGATGGATGGATGGATGGATGGATGGAGGGATGATGGATAGAAAGTTGGACAGATGGCTAGATAAATGTATATATAGACACTGAATGAAGGACAGATGGATAGACGGATGGAAAGATGGATGGATAGACAGATGAATGGATGGATGGATGGATGGATGGACGGACAGATGAATGATGGACAGATGGATGGATGGACCGATGGATGGATAGATAGACGGATGAATGATGGATGGATGGATGGATGGATAGACAGATGGATGGATGGATAGGTAGACGGATGAATGATGGATAGATGGATAGACAGATAGATGGATGGACCGATGGATGGATAGAGACGGATGAATGATGGATGGATGGATGGATAGATAGACGGATGAATGATGGACAGATGGATGGATGGACCGATGGATGGATAGAAAGTTGGACTGATGGCTAGATAGATGGATAGATGAAGGGATGAATGATGGATAGAAAGTTGGACAGAAGGCTAGATAGATGGATAGATGAAGGGATGAATGATGGATAGAAAGTTGGACAGATGGCTAGATAGACGGATGAATGATGGTCCAACTGATTCATAGACGAAGGACGGACAGATAGACAGATAAACGGATGGATGAACAGATGAATGGATAGACAGATGGACGGATGAATGGACAGACAGATTATAAATAACTATAGCCTGAGACACTGTACTGGTCTTGGCTGGTAAGTGAACTGTAATTAATATGATTTTAGTTGATCTTTACTCTTAACACACCGAGGGACGAGTCGTACTTATTGTCAGAGTTTATCAGTGAGGATCCCACTGATCTGAGCGTGAACAGTGTGTGTGTGTGTGTGTTACGCCTCAACCCAGCCGACAGGAGGGAGCACAGCACCTGACACTGGGAAGTTAGTGTGATACCAGTGTTCACTGCTTATCTACAGCACAGCATGTCCCGCCGAGAGAGGAGACGTGAAGACAAACCCAACAGACCTCAGGAATGCTGTAACCGGAGTGCTTTCATGCAGTCAACATCATCACACAGACCTACAGCGGATCAGCTTACAATATTTTCAATATGGAGTTCATGGTCATATTGCGACCTCTGACTTTTGATTGCAATCTGAGCCCAGTTTGAGATTACTGGACTCTTTCTGAGAGGCAGCAAACATCTCCATTTGCATTTAATCCCATTGCTGTCAGGAGAAACAATTAAGATGTTTTACATGTCCTGTGGGTTCTTACACAAATCTGCTGTGATTACACTAATTTTCAAGACGTTCAGTCAGTGCGCATGATCTAAAGATAATGATAATATCATTAACCCAGTGAATTTTGCATAATGAACGCTGTTGGCATTCAGAGAGACTTGCTAGTCCACAGATAAAAATAATTACGTTTCCACTGCAAAAATGGATTTGAACACATCAAACAAAAGCCGTTAGCAATTAAAGCATTGCACAACTCTTTTAAATGTGTGTTTGTATAAAAAACATTACTTTTGTATGAAACCTTTTCTGCTCATGCATTTGTGTTCTGTTCGATTTCTGTGTACTCCCCTTATGGACCGGGTCAAATTGACCCTAATTGGATTCAATACAATTCCTCAAAAATCACACTATGAAAAACAACAAAGATTTAGATACAAACTGTAAACTTTTAATATCAACATTTGTCAAACATTACAAAAACATTATATCTGAAAATATGATTTATTTAAAAAAATAAAAAATATTTAACATTTTTTTAAAACAGTTTTGTTTTGACAAAATTGGAAAATAAACAGTATACTGATTTTTTTTGCATATTTTTTTTTTTTACTTTTTTTTTTTTTTTTTTTACATTTTATGCTTTGAACATCGTAACTGAAAAAAAAAAAAAAAATCTGTATAATGAAATTTTTTCATTTTCCTAAATTAACTTTCCCTAGTTTCCTAAGACCTATTTTCCTAGTTTCATTTTTCACTCACCGGGAAGTGAGAAACCAAACATAACAAAAACATGCATCAAATAAATGTTTTTTATTTATTTTTTGGCTCTGTGAAGCTGCCTTTAAAAATCCAAAAAGTTTTGGGTAAAAGCTAGGTATTTTAGATATCTTGAATATTGAAATGAGAGCTTATTTTACTATCTGTGTCTGACAAAGATTTTCATCTGTAATTTGCAAATAATTCTGAACACTGTAATTTTAGCTATTTCAAGTGTGTTTGGTTAGGGTTAGAGCACTTTTAGATGCACTTGCACGTTAGAACTGGAGTTGAAGTGTCCTTACATACAGAAAATAAATGTTTTTATTTTGTGTCTGTACAGTTGCTTTTGAATGGCTGCCTATGAGGGTCAAATTGACCCGCGAACATCACAAACGTAATAGTAATTTTGTTTGTATATGTCAAAACAGATCAGCATGTTGAAACTTTGCATGCATGTTCATCATGATAAATGAGAAAAAGTCACAAAATATCAAGACAAAAAACAAAGGTTAACCAGTATTTCCAACAACTTGAAAATCGAAACGGGTCAAATTGACCCGCAACATAACACAAGGGTTATGCATTTGTACGCAATGTTTTACGTCGGATGAGTTTTAACTACTTAAAACACCACATACATCTGATTCATATTGATATTAAACTATATTTTTGACTTGCATAAAACTGCTTAATTTAGACAGGCTTTTAGCAGATAAGCATTAAATCTTGAGATATTTTGAAGTAATATTTCACAATATTAATGTTTTTACAGTAATAAATAAATGCAGCCTTGGCGAGCACAAGATACATGTTTTAAAAACATTTTTAAAAATGAAAATTATTCTAAATTTGTGATCAGAGAAACGTAAATTAACATAATTAAATCTTAAAGAAAGAATCAACTTTGGATGGATGGATGGATGGATGGATAGACAAATGGCCAGATGATAATATCATTAACCCAGTGACGCTGTTGGCATTCAGAGAGACTTGCTAGTCCACAGACAAAAATAATAACGTTTCCACTGCAAAAATGGTTTTGAACACATCAAACAAAAGCCGTTAGCAATTCGTCCGACAAACAAACTTCATCTGGGCTCTGGTATCAACATGGCTTATGCTGTGACAGCTCTTCCTGCTGAAATTTGATCAAACATTTATAAAGCAGCAGTGTCCGATAGAAGTAGGCAAAAGCGGCTGCAATATACGTTCGAAGGCTATATTCACGACATACAGGTGAAACGCAAGGAACAACAAGGCATCCAAATAGAGGCAAAAGCATACCGGTCACAGTCAAAAAATGACCCACCGCATATCCTACTAATGGAGACGGAGGCTGGGACTGACAATATCAAGGAGCAACACTGTTCATGCAAAGCTGGGTAGGTCTCTATTCACTTCTATAATCGTTATTACAAAGCAAACGGACTACGCGAGTATAACGTTGTATTTATTAGCAGCGTGTGCTAGACGACACTCGTCAGGATTTTACTTCGGTTTTGGGAAGGGAAAAAAACGCACACCCCCCTCCAACCTCTCTGGGAAACGCGTATCTGTGTTACAAATGCCCCAGGCACAACGTTTAACCATATTTTTGATAAAACTACGACGGTAATAGCCCAAAAATATGAGAAACCTGTGTTAAAGTCAATGGAGCGCTGTAGGGGTGTAACGATACACAAACCTGACGGTTCGGTTCGTCCCACGGTTTTGAGGTCTCGGTTCGGTTCGGTTCATTTCCGTGGGGTGGGGGGGTTAGAAAGCTAAAATTGCTTTTATTTTTTATTAAACAGTGCTTTAATGAACAAATTGTGTCCTTGTCTTTAAATTAATTCAATTACAAGTAAACGTTTCTCAAGGATAACAAAATTATCTTACCAATGCTGTAAACTACAGCCCTTACTTGCACATTACTATAACATTAAAGCTTAACAACATAGCCTAGACTTTTAACCTAAATTATATAATAATAATCAACACTCAAATAACAAATTGTATGAAAACATGTAAACTGCACATAAGGCAATTTTTGCATTAACATGTTTTTACTCTAATTTGTTATTGTCATATAATAATTTACACAGTTACTGTTATTTTCATGACACCTATTTTAAACATACATTAAATAATCAAGACATCATAAACAGGTTAAGTAAAATATAATATATAGGCTAATATAAAGCATTTATTTAGTGAAAGAGTTAGCAAACCAGCAAGCTGTGGACACTGAATGACTTGCCTGAGGTAAATATAAAGCTATGTGAAAAACTAAGCGTTTTATTGACGTATTTCCGCTGTTGAAACACTGATTGAGTGTTTACACGAGTTATGATGCCTTTCAGTAAGTATACTGTATCTTTCAACATACCTTCGGGTGTCCATTCATGTTTATTCTGTAACTGAGGAAGGCTTGAGGAGGCATTTATTGTTTGCATTTCGTGATCAAATAGACATAATTTGAAAGATTACACCTTGCTTATTATCAAAAGTAACAAAACACTGAGCTTATTGCGATTATATGTGGTTAATGGTGGTTAGGCAACAGCCCTGTATTCGTTGTGTACAGATAACACATGAGGTGAATGAGCCGGGGCTGGGCGGGGCCGCAGGGGGCGGGGGGTGTTCGGTTCGCCATGAGAGTATCGCGATACGTATCGTGGGTGAGGTATCGCGGTTTTTCGGTTCGGTTCAAATATCGTTACACCCCTAGAGCGCTGTGAAAAAGTGTCGGACCTCAGTGGGAGCTCGTTCTTGGCTGCGCTGTGATTGGTCAATCTACATTCTAGGGCGTGGCTTAGCCAAAGGCGAATTAATGCATTCCACAACTTTGTGACATTAAAGGATTAGTTCACTTTAAAAAAAACTTTTGCTGATAATTTACTCACCCCCATGTCATCCAAGATGTCCATGTCTTTCTTTCTTCAGTCGAAAAGAAATGAAGGTTTTTGATGAAAACATTCCAGGATTTTTCTCCATATAATGGACTTCAATGGTAGCCAAACGGTTCAAGGTCCAAAAGACAGTTTCAGTGCAAACTGCAAACTGTTCAAATGGTTTTAAATGACACCAGACGATGAATAAGGGTCTTATCAAGCGAAACGATCGCTCATTTAAAAAAGAAATAACAAAGTTTAAGTTTTATAAGCTCACATGCCCGCCTTGCTCTGTTCTGTGTGACTCTTCGGTTCGAACTCGTTCATCAAAATGAACAAATCTTTTTCCGAGTCAATTCGTTCATTTCGTTCGTTAAATGAACCAAATGACTCGAAAAAAGATTTGTTCATTTTGATGAACGAGTTCGAACCGAAGAGTCACACAGAACAGAGCAAGGCGAGCATTTTACATTATTAAACTTAAACTTTGTTATTTCTATTTTAAATGAGCGATCGTTTCGCTTGATAAGACCCTTATTCATCGTCTGGAATCGTTTAAAGCCCTTTGAACAGTTTGCAGTTTGCACTGAAACTGTCTTTTGGACCTTGAACCGTTTGGTGCCCAGCAAAGTGCATTATATGGAGAAAAATCCTGGAATGTTTTCATCAAAAACCTTAATTTCTTTTCGACTGAAGAAAGAAAGACATGGACATCTTGGATGACATGGGGGTGAGTAAATTATCAGCAAAAGTTTTTTTTTAAAAGTGAACTAATCCTTTAATGACATTGCATAACCTTTTCTGTTCATGTATTATGCATTTGCATGCAATGTTTGTGCCAGATGAGTTTTATTTAAAACATTTTATACATTCTCACCTTGCAGCTGGACATTTGCATCATAGTTTCCACTTATGATGGAGTCAGTGCTGGGAGTACTGCACTGGTAGGTGGCGCTGTCACTAACTCGAGCCTCTGCAATCCTCAGTTCCGCTGCGTTGTCCGCTAGTTGTGACACACTGATGTCGCCGCTCCTTATGCGGTCCTGAAGAGAGCGATCCGAGAACTTTTGGTCAAACGTTGAGATCACTTTGATGGATTCTGTCCCTCGCGTTACCGTCCACTCGAAGTCCTGCTCCCTCGGGCCCTCGTAGTCCGAAACATTACAGCGAATAGACAACGGCTGGCCCTCGACCCGGAGCAAAGGGCCCGTGGACACCGTCACCGACCTGCAGTGGCATAAACCTTCAAAACACAAACACAACAGAGCTTTATGGATTGCTCTTGCCTCTTTATATCATATTTAATTTCAATGATGTCAATATGAAATGGTGTTGGTAGAGCATTTAAAGTGTGAAACAGAACAATCAACCTCAGTAGGGACTTTTATTGTGATTTATTATGGTTTTATCCATAGTGTAAAAGTGCTAACCCGTAGTTGTTTCATTAAAGAGCCGTTTCTACTTCATTAAACCCATTCCACTTGGTTTAAATGAATGTATTTAGGTGATTTTGCCTAGAATAAAGCCAGTTGATTCAGAAAGGCTTTTAGCAGATCAGCATACAATCTTGTAATATTTTGTAATAATAGTTTACAATATTAGTGTTTTTACTGTATTTTTGATGCAGCATTGGTGAGAGACGTCTTTCAAAAACTATATTTTTGACTTGCATAAAACTACTTCATTTAGACAGGCTTTTAGCAGATCAGCATAAAATCTTGAGATGTTTTGAAGTAATATTTCACAATATTAATGACTTCTCATTAATACATAAATGCAGCCTTTGTGAGCAAAAGATACATCTTTTAAAAACATTTTTAAAATCCAAATTATTCTAAAGTTTCAGAGAAACGTAAATGAACACGATTAAGTCTTAAAGAAAGAATTAACCCAAGCTGGGATGGATGGATGGATGGATGGATGGATGGATGGATGGATGGATGGATGGATGGATGGATGGATGGATGGATGGATGGATGGATGGATGGATGGAAGGAAGGATGGATGGAAGGATGGATGGATGGAAGGATGGATGGATGGATGGAAGGATGGATGGATGGATGGAAGGATGGATGGATGGATGGATGGATGGATGGATGGATGGATGGATGGAAGGATGGATGGATGGATGCATGGAAGGATGGATGGATGGATGGAAGGATGGATGGATGGATGGATGGATGGATGGATGGATGGATGGAAGGATGGATGGAAGGATGGATAGATGGATGGATGGAAGGATGGATGGATGGATGGATGGAAAGATGGATGGATGGATGGAAGGATGGATGGAAGGATGGATGGATGGAAGGATGGATGGATGGAAAGATGGATGGATGGATGGAAAGATGGATGGATGGATGGATGGAAAGATGGATGGATGGATGGATGGGTGGAAAGATGGATGGATGGATGGAAGGATGGATGGAAGGATGGATGGATGGATGGATGGAAAGATGGATGGATGGATGGATGGATGGATGGAAAGATGGATGGATGGATGGATGGAAGGTTGGATGGATGGATGGATGGATGGATGGAAAGATGGATGGATGGATAGATGGATGGATGGATGGATGGAAAGATGGATGGATGGATGGAAGGATGGATGGATGGATGGATGGATGGAAAGATGGATGGATGGAAAGAAAGTTGGCTAGATCGACGGATAGATAGACGGATGGATGGATGGACCGACACAAATGGACGGACGAACAGACCGATAGATTAAAGACCTGTTTTTACCTATTTTAACCCATAAAACTTTTTTTTGGTATAAATGAATGTATTTAGGCGATTTAGGTGATATTAAATAATATTTTTGACTTGAATAAAGAACGATTTTATCCTTTTTAGGATACCATTTTTCTTCAGTGCACGTGTAACTGAGGAAGCATCACTAATTGGCTAATCTGATAACCTGATTTCTGAGTTTCATAAGCATACAAGTGCTGACTATAGTTTGGCATATGGCACTTTACAATGGGATTATGAGGATTATCTTCAAAGCACATGATGGCACTTTCATAAAAGACTCCAAATGCAAATGAATCGCCGTGCTAATGATAACTCTGTCTCTCTCACCCCACTAGACTTGCAAATGACACCAAACGAAAAAAGACTATCCTAAAATATTCCTTTCTCACAGGAAAGCTCCTGCAACACAGGCTGGCACGCTGAAGGCACCTTCTGGGCAACTTCAAAACTCGGGAAGACACGGGAGAAATGTGTTTGTCAAACCTTGTTCTTTTCACCATATACTCATTTATTTTCTTTTGTGCTTATTAAAAGTCCATTGGGATTCCTGTCAGCAATGGGGAAATAACAAACTCTTAATGTTCAGCTTTGAAGTCGATAGAGCAGTGTTTAAGAGACCGGTCTATATTATAAATGAATACAGAACAGCAAGAAAATAGAGGACAGGTGATATATAAATATACCCTACAGGAAGGTTTGACGTTTGTTTACATGCATGAGAATATGTGCATATGCAAATAAATGCAATTTAGTCACTACATGTTGACCAAATCTAAAACTGGTAAGAAATTAAGACATACATTTCTATAATAAGAGGTTTATTTAGGTCTCATGTAACATACAAAGCAACAGAAGTAGACAGTTTCGCCCTTCTCTTCTCTTTGGCTTGATCCGAGTAAACAATTAACTGTCCTTCAAGGGTTGTTTGCAGTATTTTTTTGGTTCAACAAAGAATGTGTTTTCAAAAATACTCAGTTTTGGCTGCGCAGCGTTCATGATTTGCTATAAGGCTCTTTGAGGATTAAAACGTTTTTGGTGTTTCATGACAGGTTCTTCAGATCAGTGTTTTGGATTCTGGCTTCTTTAAACCCCTGTATATTGAAGGCTTTCTACAGAATTAGAGAATAAACAGTTCTTACAATGATTTGATCTATTAGATGAAACCTATTAGAACATTAAAGTGTCAGGTTACATGCCATTCATGTCACATAAAACTCAGTTTCCAACTTTCATTTTGTCATTACATGGCACGTCATGTTAATTATTTAATGTTTTGCAAGTCTTTAATTTTTATAGACTACTATTTTTGACAAAATATAATAAATCAATACAATTTCATAATAATGACAATACGAGCATTAGTCATTTTATATGCAAATGCTACACTTTGTATTAAGTAAGATAACTATAAACTTTGAATTTTTGACCACACAATTAACAAAACAAAATCAGTTCTATAAGGATTCAGAGATAAATCTCATTTACAGTAATATGCAAATCTATACTATGAAAATAATTTTGAGGTATACTGTAAATTGTGACCATGCAAATAAAATAAAAAAAGTAAAAAATCAAGGCAGAACAGTTCAATAATGATGCTCATTCAATATGCAAATCTATATTATCAATATATAGGCTACTTCCTTTGAGGTACTATGAAATTTGACCATGTAAATCTAATAATAGTAAGAAATCAAGGCAGAACAATACTATAATGTTTGGGAGATTTAATAGGATCTAATTTAATATGCAAACATATCAATATGCCTATATGCTATATTTCCATTGAAAGTATTACTATACATTTTGACCATGTAAATCTAATAATAGTAAGAAATCAAGGCAAGTTTTTTTTAGAATGATTGATAGATGTTGAATTAGATCTAATTTTGTGCAAAGCAGCGATTTTTAACACTGTAAAGAGTTAAATCTACCCAATTTGACCCTTAAAATCACTAACCTGTATTCAGGTTCATATTAAATCATAGCTAATTCACACGTCGCCACGAGAAGCATATTTTTAGTCACCTTTAGAGAAAACACTTTGACTGTTTCTGACTATTTGCCTTGACAGGAACGCTGTTACTCGTGTCAGTACATCATGCTGAGGGTTTGTCTTCTGTTCCCGAAGGAAACTCACCGACAGCGGCGAACAGCAGGATCAGCGCGCGCGTGTCTCCCATGTCCACCGCTTTACTCCTGATACGAGCTGAAGACGGACTGAAGGACAGACAGACAGACAAGCAGACAGACAGGTTCACACACACAGACACACACACAGACACACATACACCTGTGATACGGAGAGAGAGAGAGAGAGAGACCCACGCTGGGATGACGTCAGGATCGCAGTTTGAGAGCGAACGTGAGATGACTGACGCGCGCGCGCGCGCCCGTGATTGATTCACGCTCGTGGAGGTTTAACGAGCGAATGAAGGAAGTGGAGTGGGATTCCCTACGTCTCTCTCTCTCTCTCTCTCTCTCTCTCTCTCTCTCTCTCTCTCTCTCTCTCTCTCTCTCTCTCTCTCTCTCTCTCTCTCTCTCTCTGGGATAGATAGATAGATAGATAGATAGATAGATAGATAGATAGATAGATAGATAGATAGATAGATAGATAGATAGATAGATAGATAGATAGATTATTCAGTATTATTGCAATTTAGTAATATACGTTTCAGTTCCATTCTGCAATCAGAACTGTAATCTTTTTAGTAGAAAAATGACTTTTAAATTGAGTTATCATTCTCTCAGCACAGCAAATTAGAGGCGTATAAGCCTACTATGCCATCTAGTGTTGAGAAACATACAGTTATAGTAGACACTTCCTATATGTGACTTTCAGTACCCTTGAGGGACAACCTTACAGAATAACCTGGAGTACACCGACTCACTTCATGTTTACTACGGTTCACTTTATGAACCAGCAACATGGCTTTCGACTCTGAGCCACTGAGCCTAACCCTAACCCTAACCCATACCGGCTCATTCAGTGTATATATGAGCATTGATTATTACACTGCAATCTTGAGTTTATGGTGCATCTTTATTAGCAAGAGTCAGTTAATGTGCCGCTATCAGGGCCTACAGATAAGTGCGTTTCAGTTCAGAGAATAAAAGAGAGAACTGAGAAAAAAATGTTAATCGATTCTGTTTTCCTTCTGCTTCTAAAATCAGATGGAGACTGCTTTATTTTGGTCAAGAATGCAGCATAGCATCCAGATTGTAAAGCAAGAGACAGTATTTAAAAGATTAAAGCCATTTACACACATTGTCTGTTAGTATTTCTCAAAAAAAAAAAAACGTTTAAGTCTCCCTGTAGTCAATCATTTTATCCCTTAAAACTCATGTTTGATCACCAAAATTACATATTTAATTTTTTTTTCCTTGAAAATAAATTTCTTCATGCCTTAAAATATCTTGAATGTAACTCTACTACACCCTTGCCTCATTTAGTATACGCGGTTCTATGAATATACAAATGAGCCCCGGCTCCACTCACTCACTCAGCTCAGAGATCCAGTTTATTTAGAATACACACAAATGTCATTTACATCTTTGAGTTTGTCAAGAGATTTAAAGCACAGTTTCGAAGAGTGCGCATGTGCGAACGTGCTCTAGAACGTAGCCTATAAGAACGAGCCTATGATTGAATCTGGAAATAAAGCAAAATAACTGAGAAAAAATGAGAAATAGTCCTTGTCCGTAATTTATAGCAAAACATCTACCATTAATTTATCTCAAGCAGATTCATTAAAAGAAGTTATTATTCCACCACCTGCGTGACATCATTAACCAACGTGGCTGAACGACCAATTTGAGACAATACGGTTTCGGGAAACAGTCGTGACTCGCTAGTTGATTTCTTCAGCGATGCATCTTACTATAGTAGTGAAGCAGTGAGTTACAGCGGTGTACGGGAAACACACTCCTGATTGGTTACAAGGTCGTTTGTGACGTCAGAAACACCAGCGATTTCAAACCGTGTTTTTGAGACTGTCTTTGGTTCACTGAAGTTTTAAGGAAATTTACACATGGCTTGTCTTAAAGCATATTAAAAACACCACATAGACACATAAACAACATTAAAAGCTTGATTTTCACTAAAGGGGGACTTTAAGCACTTTTCTTCTTTAATTAATAACGTTTTATTGCATGCACACAGTGAAGCACGCAGCCCATATGCACATCTAAACCTTGACACATACATCATACAGTACTTTAATAACTGTCCACAGCAGTTTCGTATTTGTGTTTCTGGTGCATCTAAAAAAGTGCTAAACTTATTTTAGCCACTTCCTGTGTGGACAACCTAAACCATGAAACGCATATAGAAAATAATGAAATCTACGTCACAGTCTTGTCATTTCCAAAAGCAAAAACAAACAAAAAAAGTTTTTGCTTTTTATTTTTTAATGTCAGCTTCACATATTCTCCTGGAAAAAAAAAACTGGTCACACATAACGTGCTTTATGACTTCCTTAGAGGCGTTCCAATCATACACAGATGAGATTAAAGCGTTTCTTATTTCCATGATGACAAATTTCTGACCAACACCAAGATAGCATGCACTTCTCCATTTATCATAACCGTGGAAAAAAGATGTCATGATGATTAATTCTGTGAAACAGAACAGCGTATGTTCTATTTCTTCATTTATCATCCCTTCGATTTTAATGCATTCAGTCCTTTCATACATTTTTACATAGACTATATTCAAATCTTTTCTTCTTTCTTCATTGTGTAAACGCTTATTTTCCTCAAAATTCATTATTACTTGTAGCTTATATATTTATTAATAACTAGCTTTCTTTGCACGACTGAAAAAGTTGAAAGAGTCAATATTTTCGAATATTTATTAATTTTCCAATTAATATAGAAAATGTATCTGACATTTTGACACTTCACTCAGACTAGCATTTTACTTACATTTGAATCTTACAGGGTTAGTTCACCTAAAAATGAAAATGATGTCATTAATGACTCTCCCTCATGTCGACCCAAGCCCGTCAGACCTCCGTTCATCTTCGGGACACAGTTTAAGATATTTTAGATTTAGTCCGAGAGCTTTCTGTCCCTCCATTGTAAATGTATGTACGGTATACTGTCCTTGTCCAGAAAGGAAATAAAGACATCATCAAAGTAGTCCATGTGACATCAGTGGGTTAGTTAGAGTGTTTTGAAGCATCGAAAATACATTTTGGTCCAAAAATAACAAAAACTACGACTTTATTCAGCATTGTATTGTGTTCCGGTTCTGTTGTGGATCCGCGTTCAGTGCCGCCGCTGACGTAAGACGCTGCTGACGTGTCTCTGGTGTGTGTGTGTGTGTGTGTGTGTATTCTGGTTCTGTTGTGGATCCGCGTTCAGTGCCGCTGCTGACGTAAGACGCTGCTGACGTGTCTCTGGTGTAGGGCTGGGCGATAAAACGATAACGATATGTATCGCGATAGACACGTGATCGATATCAATAAAAAATGTGTTCGATAAAACGTTCGATATTTTTTTTCTTCGTCGGAAGAAACCACAGGTTGCGAAGCTTGGTTGCATTATCAAGGCACTCGCTCTCTGGTAACCTAGCAACGTAGGGAGTGACACGCTCAGGCAATCATGTAACGTGTCAGTTTTGTTGCGCCATCGTTGTCTCGTGCTGCTGGGTTCCTCTTCAGTAACCGGCGATTGATAAGCAGAAAATGAGTGTCCTTCATCTGCATGCCATGCAGGCTAGAATTGCGAAACATTATTGGATAATTCGCTCTATTCGCGTTTGATGTGAACACAGCATAATGAACAGGCTGCGATGTCAAGATTGCAATGCTGGAGTGTGTGTGTGTGTGTGTGTGTGTGTGTGTGCGGTGCGCGCGCGCGCGCGAGAGAGAGAGAGAGTAGGCACGGGCGCGAGAGAGAGAGACACGCGGGCGCGATCGAACAGTGGAGACATAAAAACATACTCCGTCATTTTGTTAATACAGGACATCATTCAGTCTGCAAAGTGTTTACTTATATTTGTGTAGGCCTATACTCGCAATAAAACACAACATTGTGCTTTTGTCACACTGTATTTCTTGTCAAACTGTAACCTACAACTGTCACACACCGTTTTAAAAGCAAAACATATTTATCCAACCCCTTTGTAAAACAGTCTGTGTGTTCCATCTTTTGGACATTCATCATATCGCATTGGTTTTCATGTCTTGTCCTCAAAACAGAGCACTATGTTTATTTTTAAGTTACACATTGATTAAAAAAGAAAGTGAAATGTGTTGGTAGATTATTTTATACGGAAATCAATTATTTATAATTCTGATGAGAATAAAGTTAGGGTTAATTAAAATTAAGGAAAACAAATATATTGATCTGAAATATAGCAAATTAATTTTAAATTCATTCAGGTACAATTACCAAATATATCTCATATCTATCTTTTTATTAGTTTAATTAATAAACCAATTATATAAAACTATTATCAGTGCACTATAAATAAACTGGTTCTATGCCTTTATTAATAAAACTTATTTAAAAAATACAAGGCTTAAGACATTTATAAAAATGCCTTCTATATTTCTGTTTTGCTTTTCACTCCATTGTACCGAAATCGTACCGAACCGTGATGTCTCAAAAAAAAAAATCAAGCAGGGGGCACGTACGATCACAAACCCCCACCCACGTCCCGCCGCGCCACTGCCACCTTTTTTACTCTGAGGAGTTTGCAGGTCTGATTGTGAATTTAGACTTATGTTTACATTTTAATTATTTGAGTTTTCCATGGTTGTGTTGACATTTCTGTCTTGGGATTGTAATCAGAGGAAGGTTAAGTTTAAAATAAAAATGTTTAAATATTTTTTAGTATTATAATATAATATTAAAATATTTTTTCTCCTGGTCCTTATTTTAAATGGGTCATAAAAAAATCAATAATTATCGATATCGACCGATATGAAACACTGATATCGTGATACAGTTTTCAGCCATATCGCCCAGCCCTACTCTGGTGTGTGTGTGTGTGTGTGTGTGTGTATTCTGGTTCTGTTGTGGATCCGCGTTCAGTGCCGCTGCTGACGTAAGACGCTGCTGACGTGTCTCTGGTGTGTGTGTGTGTGTGTGTGTGTGTTCTGGTTCTGTTGTGGATCCGCGTTCAGTGCCGCCGCTGACGTAAGACGCTGCTGACGTGTCTCTGGTGTGTGTGTGTGTGTGTGTGTGTGTGTGTGTTCTGGTTCTGTTGTGGATCCGCGTTCA